ATTACTTTTCTAGTTGGACATCATCCAAAATGGCAGAGTTACCACCTAAACAACGTTATCTTCTTTGGTTGGTAACTGCTTTTACTCATTTGGTCACGGTTTTTTGTATCATTTGGTTTTTCATTGGTCATATTTGGTTCATTCAAGAATTAAATAGTGAGGGTATATACTACTATCGCTGCACTATGTCAATGCACATATTCACCATAATAATATTCGTAGTTCAGTATATTGTGGGTATTTGGATGATTTACTATCGTATACGGTATAGTCGACGAGTTTTACATCCATTTCAAAAGAAAATTCATCATCATCTCCAACAATCGTCTGAAAATGACAAATGTCTTGACGCAAAAGAAACAACAGAAAATCAGAAAAATGTTGGTGATAATGCTAATACTGACCAATTATCGATTTATATTTGATTCAAAAATTTTAAAATTACTTTTGATGCAAAGACTTTTCACTCTATAAAAACTAGAGGCCTGCAGCTTAAGCAATTTTGACAACCTGTAACCTGCCCTTTTCAGATTTCGGCAACCTGCAACCTGCCCTGCCCTGCGAATTTTTTTTGTACCCTGCCCTGCCCTGCCCTGTAAAAATTTTCGTAACCTTTAACCTGCCCTGCCCTGCTTGCCGTCAGAAAAATCTAAACTTTCTTATCAAATCTTTATACAATTTTATTTTATTTATTTCAAACCATAAAGTAAAAAAAAACAATATTACATATCTCGAAAATTTCGAATCATTAACATATCGTCTACAACATCTGGATTTAATGATTGTCTTCGTTTTTCTAAAATCCGACTAGATGAACTAAAAACACGTTCTGATGTTGCTGAACTTGCAGGAATTCCAAATAATGATTTTGCTAATACAGCAAGTTGTGGAAATATTAGAGAGTGTTTGCTCCACCATTTTAATAATGTATCATCTTTTGTAAATGGAATTTTCGTGTTAAGATAACGTTCAACTTCATCAGATTCATCATCCGAGCTGCCCTCTACAGCTCCCGCAAATTCTCCCATAACATCACTTTCCATTATCAAATTGTTTTTCTTTCTTTTTGGTGGTTTACTGGTGATTCTAGAGTTCGTTTTAGATAATAAAGATGAGTGTTCTTCACGAATACCAAATGTTCCCATTATTTTTCTAACATCACCATAAATTTCATTTCGAAGACTATCATCTAATGTCTAAAATAAAATTTCAAAGACATAAGAGTGATGTACTGCTAAAAACAAATCAGGTTACTTGAAGCTTTTTCGTTGCAGCATATAAAAAAGTAGCTATATAATGTAATGATGTCAAATAAACTTTATCATCCAGCATCCTTGAAACAGCATTTTTAAATTGAGCTAATAATAAATGATCATCATCATTAGGTATACAAGAATTTTTTAATTTCCAAAACCAAGGAACAACTAGATGTAACGTTGGTGAAGCATCAGAAGACAATTGTTCACTTGCTAGTTTAAATAATGATAAGAATTTCACTACATCCACAACTAATTTTCGATTAATATCGTTCAAATAATACATTTCATTTCGTTCCAACAAAAGATCTTCACATTTATTGAAGTTCAAGGATATTGACTCGAACATATCATGAATCGAGTTCCAACGAGTTACAACATTCACCTTGAGACTGGTTGGTAATAATGTATTCATTTCACATCGTTTAAAGTGAGCACACAAAGCTTGACATGATTTGATCAATAATTCTATGTTCGGACATAGATTAACACCATTATGTAATGCTAAGTTCAGGCAATGACAAATGCATCTAAGATGCACTTCTCCTTCTAAACAGAAAAAAATACTGCTCAAAATGAAGTCGTATGTATAAGACACTTACGCAAACCACAAACAAGATTAGAACCATTGTCCGTAATATAAACTATATGATATTTTTCTGAATTAATATCGTAACTTGATAAAGTCGAGAAGATTTTTTTTCTTTGTATTATCACCTGTTTTTGATTGATCAAATAAGGACGTTCGTAACATATAGGTAATATTTTGTTCATTTCTGCAATAGTGAATATAAATTGTTAAATAACTCTCACTTGTACCACTATTTTTCCAATAATCAGTTGATATACCTATTAATTTCAAATCTTGCAAATCATTCTTCAGAATATTTTTTAATTTTTGTCGATATTCTTCAGATATTTGAGAAATAGTACGAGAGATATTAGTTGGATCAGGTAATAATGAAGTCGACGTAGGTGCACCAAGTTTAGCAACACCATATTGATAACCAAGATCAATTAGAGATTGACATAAAGATGTAAAACCAGAACCTTTTACAATATTGAAAGATCTCAAATCAAATGAACAAAATTTTGCACAAGCGATTGTGATTGCTCGTTTATCATTAATTGATACACTAACTTCATTAGATGTATTTAAATACTTATCAATAGATTTGTTGTTCTTTAATTGATTTGATTTATCAAGACAATTTTTAACATGATAACTAATAGTAGAAGTTCCATTAGAAATTGAATATGATAAAATCTCACTGCATAATTGACACTGAACAAATGGTTGGTATTCATTACTGGAGGATTTAATACGTGATAAATGTTGCCAAAATGAACCATGTGATGACAATGGAGGTTCTGCTTTAGCAATAAATTCACCATTTTTCAAATTGTCCATCACCCCCTTTTTTTTTCGTTCCACATCTTTTTTTGAATCTGACATGAACGATACGTCAAAAGCAGAAAAGTCCGGATGATATTAATTACGATAATAAAAATAATGTATAATAATATTAATAATGTTAATAAAAAGAAATGATAATGTTCATAAAAAGAAATGATAATGTTCATAAAAAGAAATGATAATGTTCATAAAAAGAAATGATAATGTTCATAAAAAGAAATGATAATGTTCATAAAAAGAAATGATAATGTTAATAATGATCAGAAAAAGAATGTATAATAATATTAGTAATGACCATAAAAAAATATGATAATGTTAATAATGATCATAAAAAGATTAATCATGGTTTTAATAGTAACATTTAAAAGATAAATTCACAATGTTGATAATGGCTCATAAACAAGTAATTGATGATGTTAACGGTGAAAATAGAAAAAAATAGGATAAAATTTAAATTTAGAAGACAAAATGTACACTCAATAGCTATACATATAAAGAATGAATTAGCGTCACTTCCATTTCTATTGGATTATCTATGCGACCAATCCAAGTTAGTTTTCGGTTTGCTTCTATTCTTTTTCTTTCTGTATGATTTTATAAAAGATGTCAATAATATTTAATGTGCAAAATTTGTCACAGGTTGACAGGTTGCGATATTCGTACCCTGCAACCTGCCCTGTAAAAATTTTCGTAACCTGGCCCTGCCCTGCCCTGCTACTAGCGTAACCTGCAGGGCTCTAATAAAAACTATATAAATAATCAAAACAAGGTGGTTTTTCTTATTCAAATAAATTTCGAAACTTTTCCACATACTAACTAGAGTTGTCTCGAAAAAAGCTGCAAATAAGAAAATCTTTTCTAGTAGAGAAGAACAATGCAATGTAACTTGTTTTTCATCTATAGAAAAAAAAGCATAGTTTAACTATTCATCAAATGAATATCATATTAACAAATGTTCACATTTCATTACTCTACGATCATTACATATGGTTCTATTGAAAGAAGTCAATCTTTCCCCCTAAAATATAAGTATGTCATTCATGATAACATTAGACATTATATAACTGTATGTAGCATGTCTAAGAGAAAAACCAGTTGAAACATGTTGATTCCTCTTTTCTTCTTCAGATCGATCATAGAAAAATGTGAACATTCTTCATAGTAATTTGTTTTCATACATGGAAGAGAATCGAAATAAATATATTTTTTCTAATTGTCATATTTGTTTTTCATAATAAGTCAGTATTGTTGTAGAACAGTATCTTAGATATACTTTATATGTACATCATTTCCTCTTATCGAACACGATAATTGTGTGTAACAATTTTGTGTAATCACTCTTATGACAATCAGTGATGCATGTCGTTTTTCTAAATTATACAAGGTGACTATATGTATATCACAAAGAAAATTAAATTTAGATAGAGTTGACATCAGAAGATGATGTTGGAAACTATTTTTATGAACAAACAAATCAATATACTGATTTTTTGCGTATTAAACTGTGAGAGAATACAGCTATCATTCTATCATAGTAAACACAAAAGCTTAAAATTCCTGCTTTTTTTTGTTTGAAACAAAATTCAATGAAATTTAACGGAATTTCTTTATACTATACATACCATCTATGAGCACATTCAATTTGAAGGCGAAAAAATATCAATAACAAGTAGCACCCAAATAAATATAAGCTTAAAGTCCCTTATTTTTATAGATCGACAAAATACTTCTACTATGGTGAATTCTAGAGACAAATTTTATACCCAGTTGACCACTGATGATGAGCGCCAATCACTTTATAAGAAAACTTCGTCCGAGGAATTGTCTCCATTCATGTTTACTATTAAATACCATCAAATTATCAATAGTCTCTTGTAGTAGTTCTTATGTCATTTAATTTCCTACATTATCTGCCTTAGTGTCAAATTAAGTAACCATAAGTGAATCTGAAGTATTGTTTTTTTTTTATATCAGCTCAAACTATCTCTGTCCACAACGTCACATATTGTTTCTGTATGAGTAGTTCGCTACGTACGTTAAATTATTTGATCGATATTGAGTTTTAAACGAATCAAATGAGAAAAAAAAGTCTATTCACTTTTTTTAATTCGTTAGAACAGCCTGGTAGTTTTCAACGCTCGTCCTCGCATTCAATTATTCAAAGGACACATCGCAACTATTCATCACGATTTCTTTCCAGAACATGTTTAGTATCAATTTTATAATTTCCTTTAAATTCAATTACCAGAGCATCTCCCTGATATGAAGCAGAGAACAAAAATGAACCAAACCCGAACCGGTAAAGTTCCATTCAATTCAGTCTTCGATAATAGGGTGGGGTGGGTGGGTGTGGGTGTAGATGTGGGTGTGGGTGTGGGTGCGGGTGTGGGTATGGGTGTGGGTGTAGGTGTGGGTGTGGGTGCGGGTGCGGGTGTGGGTGTGGGTGCGGGTGTAGGTGTAGGTGATCTGCTTTCAACCCCACACCCATGCCCACACCCGCAAAAAAAACAATGATGAAAAATGTCGATAACATTCTTTATGGATATTCCAACAAATGAAGACAGAGGATTATCAAACATCTCTTTTATAACACAAGAAAGAGAGAAATTGAATTATAGGACAGAATTTCTTATTCAAATAATATCATCTTATCTATAAAACAAAAATCATACTATTGATATTTGAGAGATCTTTTTCTTTGTCATTAATCCACACAAGTAACGCTCGTCTGCAGACTCGCTCAGCTCTTTCTCGCAGAAGGACTGTTTTTAGATGTTAGTTTTTTAATACATTATTGCGTATATAAGTTTATTTCTAATCTAAATTAGATACTTTTACATGAACAACAGCAGGTATTTATACGAAATGTTGGATAGAGAATTAGATATTTCAAATAAATGTCAATACAGATGGGAAGAGGGTGTGGGTGTGGGTGTGGGTGGATGGGTGTGGTTGTGGGTGGGTGGGTGGGTGTGGGGTATGGGTGTGTGGGTGTGGGTGTGAATTGAAGAGGAGAACAACACCCACACCCACACCCACACCCACACCCACACCCAAATATTTATCGGAAAGATTTCATTTTTAGTGGAATAACAGAAAAATAACTCAAAATGTATAATTTAATAGCGCGCTGTTGAATAGCCGAGGAACGTTCGAAACCATAAGTCGTAGATACCATGTAAAAGTGGTTGACGTAAATTTATCTGATCGCACTTCTCAATCATTTCTGTCAAATCATTTTTAATAGTTTCATCTAGATGTAGAAAGGTCTAATTTATGAGTTTTTCTCAATTCTAGTTACTACTACATTCTATCGAAGGAATTTCCATACTTGAGTTTTTTGTTTAGAGGAAGAAGAAGAAGAAGAATTGTAGTTATCTCTAGAAATCTTGTTTGATTGATGACATCATCAAGTTTAGAACGTATATAATAGAAGATCATTCATTTTGTTTTACTTTTTTAGAAGTGATAAAGCACACATACGATCTTTTCTTCTCGAAAGTCAGACAAATATGTAAGCAAGATGGTGGATCGAAAGAGATATTCTACATAACCGCTAGTTCGCACCATTAAGGAACGCAAATCGTTTGTCAAAGTTTTCTTAGGAAGAAAAAAAGGCTCTTTATTTTTGTTAGTGTTCGAGAAAGAAAAAAAAATACATACCCAAACGGAGATTTAGTTCCGTAATCGTTTGTTAACTACGAACAACAATGATTTGTATCCCATCCAATACGCATCGAAGAAGGAAAATTAGATTAAGATCACATCGAGTAAGTCGTGTTTAAAAAAAGGAAAAATACCTTTCTGGAGCCAAAGAAAAAACCAGTATACGATGTTAATACAGTAGAAAATATATGAGACGAATACATTTAAATGAATATGATTTCGAAACTTCGCGAAGCTCAGAGATTTGGACTGGAACGTCAAAAACAAAAATGGCTAATTTTCGCTCTGGAGAATTCGATGAAGTGTATAGTTCTGTTTCTTTGATGTTAATTCAACTTCAAAAAATATACGATATAAGATAGTAAACACGCATTGCTTACTATTCGATGAATGGGAGACGAATAAAAATGTGTGTATTTCAATTCTATCAAAACTTTGATCAATTCACGAACGTTTCTTGTTCTATACTTTTGAACTGATATATTATCGTGTATGCGTATGCACAATTTCGTCCACTTTATACATGACATTCTGTCGCCACGTTCTCAACCTTGCCATATTGCTTGTCTATATATTGAAACATTTGAATATTTTGCAAGTCATTCAGTTAGAACAAAATTGTTCGATAATTCTTTGTTCAGAAATTTATTTTCACGCGATCTTTTGGAGACACTAAACACAGATCGACAGTGAGAAAAAATCAATAAGTAATAGAAAAACGAACGTTTTGGTGGGAAGATTTTTTGAGACACTATGATATCCGCACAAGCAGACATATAAACAAAAAAAATGACGTTTTGTGTTTAGATGTGTCAGTAGTTAAACTATTTGTGCTAAAATTAATGCGTGATTATCACGTGACCGAGATCAGTCCCGTTTTCCACGATTGTTTTCCTTTTTTCACGCTGAAGAAAGCATGAAGAAGCCTCAATACTGTTATTTTTTTAGAGAAAAATAAAGATTTTGTAAAGACAATTAACAAATCACTTTTTATTTTTTGATCCAAAACGATCTTCGAAACGGTTTGATGATTTTTTTCATTTTTGTTTTTGTAAATTCTGTCGATTCATGCTTCGAAAAAAAGAATTCGAATTTATCTAGTTGAGATAAATTTCTTTATATAAGTTTTTCGCATTATTTTCCATTGAGTAATGTACTAGAATCAATTGATTTTAGATGTATGAGTGATGATATGAGGGAAAGAAATGCTTCGATCAATTGAATATCAAGAAAACAGTTTTCGATAACAAATGAATTTTTGTCGAATTAGATAATACAAATGTCTGATCTTTTACATTAACTTTCAATCCATGTTTCAATATTACTGTTTTCAATAAAGACATAGATTGAAGTAGAGTATATAAATTGTTTAATGTTATATCTATGTTTATTGTAAAATATTGCATTGAATAATATCATTGGCCATACTAATATGTTCCAAAACTGATTTTGTTTAAGTTTTTGAAGTTTGCTTTGTAAAAAAAATTGATGTGAGCAGTTTTCGAGTTATTTTATTGAATATATAGTCGTAACTTTGAACAATCAATTGAATTGATATTGATTTGTTTTAAAATCGATTTCAAATAAGAGTTATGGATGTTGAATAATTTTAATTACTAAAGTCGAATAAATTGCTTAATGTCAACAATCGAAAGAAATAGTTCAACATGATTTGATACTGTATTATTATCAAACAGTGTAAGAAGTGGACCGTCATTTTATAAGGAAAAAAAAGAAACATGAGTTTTCACTACAGAAGCATAGAAAGAAACAGCGTATTTATGTATTTCTTGATACTCCTTAGTACTCCTCCGTATTCCTTGTACTTCTCTGGTTAGCAGCACGATGTTTCTCCCTTGTGAAACATGTATCTTTAATCGGACCATTGGTCGCATCCTGCTGTTTCTTCTCAAATTACGATGACATGTTTTGTCAAGATATTGGCTCGCTCATGACATTGTGAGATTGGGCACGAGCTATTGGATAAAATACAGTCGAACAAATTCAAAAAGGGATATTTTTCATTGTACCGTCAATGTCAAAAGATGATGACTGTCTCATCTCTGTCCTACACAAACCGAAGCATGTGTCTGTTTTCTTTTGATTCAATAGGACTGTTAAGACTCGTTCGTTACCATTTGTTTTTTTTCATTCGTTTAGCACACCCACTCTTTTTTGCACTGGCAGTTCGTTTTGCTTTCAAGTATAGGAATATACAGACGATGAATAATACACTGCTAGCTTGTATTTATTGTGTCGAAAAAATCGATTCGCTTTGCGTTTCATTCAAATTTGGAACTGTGTCAAGTAATGTATTGTAAATTGAATGAGTGTAAAGACAGAACAACCATTCGGTAATTTAAATGCAACTGGTAATCTCCAAGTGTTGTGACATACACTACAATCTGGTGCGATGTTTTATTCGATGATTTCGATGGACATATCATATTAATTCAATTCTATAGATTGTTCATTCATTTCCTACCTTAGTCTTTTTATTTAATTTTTGTACTAGTATATTATTTTTCTAACAGAGAATCCATATAATAATTCGCACTGAATAACTAAGTTCTACAAATGATTGTATCTTTAATAATCTTCTATTATATGATGTGACAGTAAAAAAGACCGAAAGTATTCTAGATGATTTTAACAATGTTTATTCTACGATTGTACTCAGATATAAACCTGTTTTCTGATGTAGGGTTGAAGACATTTAACAATGGTCGATTTAATCTCGATACGATCATGGGAATTGATTATATGATGTGATGGATTGCTCGTCACATAGCTAATATTCTCATGTGTCAGGCACCCTGTTGCGTATACAAGTACTTTCGATTGTGGCATCGAAGATTCAAAACGAAAAGAGCTGAAATTCTTTAAAATTTATTTCCTTGAATAAATTATTGATTTTATTCAAATAAAAACTGATATATCAATAAACAGAATTCTAGTTTAATTGATGTCGAACAGAACAGTTTTTCGTGATATTCTATTGGGCGTCGACTTTAAATGTAGATGCGTACAAAAGTCTCTATTTCTTTTCGACAAACTGGACATGTTCGAAGTGAATGACCGCATGGAACACAAGTTGCCAAATGTCCACATGGAAGACATGCAAGATGTTTATCTTCTGTTAAACAAAGTATACACAAATTCGACGATGCTAAATCCGTTGTCGAACTAGCTTTTGTTTCAGTTTTTGTGTAATTGTCGATCATTGCAATTGTTGATTTTGATTCGATCGTGTTATTAGTATTCGATGAATTTGATAAAAATGGTTCGTTCGATGTTGGCGTGAACGATGATGAACCTATTTATTTACGAACAAGTAATAATATGATCATATAAATAACCGACAACATACTGAATTGTTCTGTCTCACGAATCATTTTCATCTTGATACTCGGTACAAATAATGTTTTCTTGACGACCATTGATATGATCGATTTGTTTTTGAAGAATAATACAAGCAATTAATAAATCACAATCAGTAGCAAAATCATTTTCTAAAAACAAAAAGAAAAAAATAGAAGAATGTAAATTTAATTGAATCTAAGATTCGAACGTTTTAATCTTAGTTGATCCTCCCAACAACGTTTGATAACTGATAATTTGAAATTTCGATTGAGTAAACTTTGTGAAATAGGCAAATCGAGTCGAGCAGCAACAAATCGTGACAATGTGTTCTCATCAGGAATCATTAGTTGAGAATTTTTCATTCGATGATCATTGGAAAAATTTCCATTTCTCTCTATTTGATTTATTTCAACACGTTCTATAAAATAAATCAATACATTTTTTATTTTAACTTGTATCATTTCTTCAATAGAAAAACCAACAAACCTTGATGAATTCGTTTTGATTCTTGAATTTTTCGATATAGTTCATCATCACATAATTGTTTAACATAGGGACAAAGTGGAAACCAACGTACATGTTCAATCAATGGATTATCTTTTGAACCCCAATTTTGAAGTGATCCATTACAATAAAAACAGATAACAATTGTTTTTGAGCCAGTATAAAAAAAATCCTGCTCGAACAAGATCATCTACAGAAGGTAAGTCTTCTTGAGGCCAAGAATTAAATGATGATTGACGTTTTGAAATTTCAACATAGGCTCGATGAAATGCTGATGCTTGAACTATTTCATTAAATCGCAATCGATTAGATTTTAATGTTCGATTATTCGAACTATCATTAATAATTGATGCAGTTGATATTTGACGAGTTTTTAAAATAAATAAAACATATGGACATAAAGATGAAAGAGTTTGATGTACTTCCTCTGGATCATCAGTATGTGGTGTCCATTGTTGACAAATTAAATTACAATATAAACAAATGACACGATCACCAAAATTACAATAAAAAAATCCAGCCGAAATCATTTGTGTTCGAGATAGTACTTTCTGATGAGACCAATGTGAAAATGTTCGACAGCGAACTTCTTTCATTATCTCTACTTGTATCAGACAATGATTGATCTTTTGATCGATTTTTTTATGTTGTGATAATTCAAAGTTTTGGTTCTCTATTATCGAACCATCTGAAGTAGAAAAGTTCATTCGATTCTTTGATACAATCGATTGAACGAATGAACAATTCGGACTTTGTTGAACATGAACAGTAAATGGATTCATGTGTGCTGTCCATTCAGATACTTCTAGACCACATGTGAGACAATGAGCAGTATCATCAATGCCGGTGTATGTGAAACCAGCCGCATTGATAAGAATGGATGAATGAACACCCTGCTTCTTCAACTGTTTATAAATATCAACTACACGACGACAGATTTCATTTTTCCAAGTAGAGCTTCATTTTTTCTTATCGGTACATTTTAACAAATCAATATCTTTTCTTGTTGATAGCATTGATAGCACTATAAACAATGGTTTACTTTTGAAGTGTTGGAGTGATTTCAATGAGCTGTTTCTTTCGCTTGTTTCTATCAGAAGAAAGTTGTTTATCTTAATGTTGATTGTATGTATAAATTAACCCACTTGGAAACGAGACTTGCATACAGATTGAGAAATTTCTCAATGATTCATTACAAATAATACTGGGAAAAATTGATATCAGAAAACGATTGGATATGTCGATTATTGCGTTATTCTAAATGCCACTACTCAATTTATATTTCAATTTTGATATTTCTGTCCTATATTCCATTACAGTGATATTAAAAAAAAACCTAGTTGCTACAAGAAAGTACTAAAATAACTAACTGACGATTATGGGAGACCTCTAATCATACTTTAGTGCCATCTACAGACTGTAAATCATCATTGGCCTCTTAATAATGCCAGGAAGGGTGTAGGTATCGATGTGAGTGTAGGTGTGAGAGTGGGTACGACTCTCTCTTGAGTAGCTACTCGCACTTACACCCACACCCTACGAACATATGAATAGCTATCTAATGAATACCACTTATCACTTCAGATTAGTCATGCAGCAAGTTTAATTCTGTTTGTTGACTTAAAATCTGTCCGAGTTGAGTATGCTTGAGATGGATAGATATTTATCTTGAAAAAATAGAAATAAAATTATTAGTTGATATAAGAGTGTGGGTATAAATAAGAAAAAGTAATACATCCACACCCTTCTTTTTATCTTTTTATTTATCATTTTCATTTTTTTCTCTTTTATCTTTCTTCTTGCTTTTGTTCTTCTTTCTTTCCTATTTCATGCTTCTTCCTTTTTTCTTCTTTTTGCAGCTTGTCTTTCATTATTCTTCTTGCCTATATTGTGAAAGTGTTATATTGTAGCCTACTGCCATATAGATGAAATTTTTACGCATGTTGTTCTAAGTTCTTACATGCTGTGATTTGAAACCATATTTCCATACATCTATGTAAACGCTTCCAAGCGTAACAATACATAGCCTATTCAAAAAAAAATTCCTACGAACTATCGAGCATTTAATAAAATGTTCAACAGTAAGGATTCTTGACGATGTTAGACGTTAGGGAAGGGAGTAATGTGTTCCGATGTAATATTATTTGTAGCAAATCTAGTATTTTTTTTTGAGTTACTGGCATTCATCTCTACATTTTGATTCGATATGAATATTGACTTCTTATTAGTTACGAGAGGAACACTTGTACTATCATTATCATCATTCATGCAGACCAGATATGGACACAGTTCGATTCGCAGCTTGTCAAACCAATATCGGTTTCGGTTCGGTTTAAATTTTAGAAAACCCGAACCGTGTTCATATCGGATACAGGCTATCTTCGATGCCTAAATAGACCGTCGAACACCTTGTTAATAGAGAAAAACAGCACTTTCAAAATGTTTAACTTATTTAAGGTGTAACACCTGGTTAATGAATGCTGAAGGATCAATTGTATTAAAGCACACCCAATGTAAAATCGAGCAAAAGTGATTTTCCAACGAATTATACTTGTGCTTAGTTATTTCAGATTTGAGATTACAACTTGAATCAGCAATGCAATAATGAATCACCTTTAGAATTGCGTATTGTGAATTCACACAGCTATTTCATAGTATAAAGAAAAAGCTTACTCATTCGCCATGTATTCATTCTCATGACTGAAGTGGAAGATGAAAAGTCGAACATCTTACTCATACGTGAATACTCATGAATATTATTCATAGGTATTGCATCAGTCTTAATAGATAACGCTACATGATCCAATGATATTATTGACATAATATCAATGATGAATCCTAGAGAAAAAAAGCAACATCTCCAAGTTACCTTTCTCGTGATCAGAGAAGGCTTCACTCTAGCATGTTTGAGCAAAAATTTACGAGATCAACAGTACAGGACAGCTGAATTCGTATTGTTCAGTGTCACAATGCAGAACATGATCGAGTACATTGAATTGGCTCTCATGTATTCATCAGCAACAAATAAATTTTATTCAAAGTGTTGGTTCCATTGGAAACCTAGCGAACGAGATGATTTGTTCGATATTGTATTAAGACTCGCAGAGAAATCATTCATGTGATTGGCGCTTGAGTTAAGGCTCGACTTGATTAAAATGTCTAACAATGTAAGGAGCATCATTCAATATTTGAGAACCACTGCAAACAATAGTACTGATCACAGTTATGAGATTCAATATCCTACATAAAGTAACCAAAATTCTTACTCGCTTCGCTGTTGGACAGCGTTCGAGTAATCTCATTCTCTGAGAAACAATGATGTACAAAAGAACAATAAATTGAGAACAAGAGTAATGATAATTACACTAGCTTCACATAGATATTCATTGAATCAATACAAGTTCGTCCACAGTTGACTAATTTCATCAACGATAATGATGAGTAATCGATGCATCAACTAAAGAGGGGTCTACGAAAGATGCGCACGACGAAACTTGCGCACGAGCGTGTGGATAGGGCTTTGGAAATAAAACGGACCCATTCAACCTCACTCTCACACTCACCTACCCTCGCCCTCACTATCATCCACACCAGCACCCTTACCCTCACTTCGCACCCTCATCCGCACGCTCGTGCGCAAGTTAATTGCGCTATTATATTTTCATCCATTTAATGTGCCAGAATATTACTAATCGCTTATCTCACAAAATATACTTCGTCATTCAAAGTCTGAAATACATTCCTTCATCTATATATAAAAGAGTCCTCGTAGTTGCTCAAATATTTCATCTATTACAAACGAGTAAATTCGTGTCCTCGTAATCGAGATAAAGCAAAACGGCAATGCACTTGCCTCTTATTCATCGTCTCATCTTACTATTGATTATATCGGTCATATGTCAGGTAAGTTTGTATCATCGTCAAATATTTTAATGTTTGAATCATTTTTCTTTCAATATGATTAGGCTAGCACTACAATCGAATGCCATCGAGCAGGTCCCATTCGTGAGTGTGCGTCTAAGACCTGTGGTTTAATCGGGTATGTCAACTACGACTTCCGCTATCCATGTGACTGTTATATTATCGAGAAAGGCGCTGGTACAACTACAAAATGGTATCGCATCAACTTACCTAACGGAGCCCACGGTTACGTAGACAGCCAGTTTTGTGTGGGCCATGTCAAGTTGTGTTGATGTCCTCTGCTGAAATCGAAACTCTAATCATGCTACTTTTCAAACTTTTTTTGTGAAATATAAAATTATTTTAATAAATTGGAATTATTTGTTATAATACTTGTATATTTTGCCTGTCTATCATTTGTTGAGTTGTTTGACCTCTTTCATTCATATGCAAATAAGTTTCTTCATCGAATTAGAACTCGTGGGATGCACTCTTTTTTCGTAAATGACCTGGAATCCGTCGAACCTCATTTTAAAACTCGTAATGAAATTTTCTAATCGAAAATGAATAGTCGATCTGAAGGTATGAGATACCTTTCTCCGGCGAGTGGCACTCGATCATTAGCGCATCCAGCACATTCCACATGCGACTAGACCCATCAAGTATAAGAACATTAGACCTTGTTTGACACCCCCCCCCCCTCATTTCCTTCCTCTTGTGTAATTAGATGCAAATTAATAGCTCAAATTTAATTTATTTCAATTTATTATTATTGTCACCTGTTTAATAATAAATTTAAAAGGAAGTAAAATATAATAAAAGTTAAAAATTAAATTAAAATTAAAAAGATAAAATAAAAATAAAACACAATAACGTCAATCAGAAAGAATGCCATAAAATAAGAAACAATAAAATGAAAATAAAAATAAATAACATAAAATAAAAAATTTATACTCACTGTTGACTGACTTCATGCCATAATAAAATCTAAAACAAAAAACAATTAAAAAGAAAATAATTTAATTCGAATAAAACTAAAGTAGAAGACCAGAAAGTAAAAATAAAGATTTATACTTATTTGGGATTGACTTCATGTCGTAATGGAAACTGAAATAAAATATGATCAAATAAAATAACAAACAATAAAATAAAGATAAGCAATTTATATTCACTGCTATGGTATACTGTCAGAAGAATTAAAAGACGTTTCTTTCGTGCTTTTATCAGCAAATGCACTTCTCACTAGTGATATCTATAAAATATCTTGAACCAACAAATAAATCCACAAGATTTTTACATAATGCACCTGACAACTGAAAAAGAAGCGAAATTACTATATGCTCGTTACTGGGTTCAACATACTTTTACCATTCTGTCAGCATTTCTTTAGTAAAAATTATAGAACGCAGCACAAGCGAAACATTTTTGGTCTAAAACATATGTTTACAGAAACTTGCCAGTAACGGAAAACGTCTCATTCAACTACAAATCAAATGTAGAAGTTCTTGACACTTAAATAATAAAACAGGGCCTTTTGGACCGAAATCATAAACTAAGTGCATTATCTACTAATAAAGTGTGAGTCATATAGGATCTTACAACATACTATTAATTAATTTCACCTTTCACCAAAATCTAAAAGAAAACAAAGTAAAAAAACAACAAAATGAAAATTAAGTTAAATTTAATTCAAATA